GGGGGGAGGAGAGAGAGAGAGAGAGAGAGAGAGAAAGCCACCAAGTCCAGGACTGGAACTGCGGCCAGCCATGTGGAAGTCATAGTGCCTTAACCACCTGCTGGTCCTATCCCAGCCGAATATGGAGGGATTCTCTGAATTGACTCTCCCCATTTTGCCTTCCAGGGGACAAACTTTGCCCATGCCAATGACTCTGCCACTTCCTAGAACAGCTAGGGGAATCCTAGTCCTTCCAAGTCCAGCCTGGTAACCAACCCTTTGCAAGGTCCTCATTTTCCCAGCCTCCCTTGCTGCAACTGTCTTGTCATGTCCAGCCAAAGGATGGCATTGGAAGTCTGCTGAGAAGCTTGTGGAAGTCCCAGCCTTATTATAAGAAAACAGAGAGGGTGTTTTTTTCTCACTTGCTTTCCCATCCCTGGAGACACGGTACCCATCATGGCATCATGAGTTTGTAAGCCGAGACATCACTGAAGTGCTTACAGGGGCCCAGTAGAGTGACCAGAGGTCCCTAAGCCACGACCACTGGGCTTCAGTAGTCAACTAGGTTTGCTATTAACTTGCTGCACTTGTCTGGACTTACCCACCCCACCTCTTCTGCCTGAAAGTCTATCCCTGGCTTTGCTCAAGAGGGCTGGAACTCATAGGACAAAGGGAATCAAAGCCTCAACTAGCCTCATGTGAACCTGAGGGCAAGTCCCAGGCCATTTGACTTCTGGTTTCTCACAAATCACTGCATTCTTCCTAAGGTCATCTCACCTACACCTGTGGCTTCCATTACTTCCTGGATACAAATAATCCCAATTTTAGCTCCAACTATGGTTCCACTCTTGAACTTGATCCATTACTGAAGGATTCCTCCACTGGGGCCCACAGGTGGCATTGTGGTTAAGGTGCTAGATTCCCACATGGCCTACTACAGTTCAAGTTACAGACCTGGCAGCTTGAAAATCATGCCAGGTGCTTGTGCATGCATGCCCTGAATCCCAGGAGAGTGAAAGGATTGCACTGTGGCTATCTCCCCTGTGAGGGAGGGTGATTTCTCACTTTTCTTTTTTCCTATAGCCAAAAACAAAAACCACAAAAAAACCTTCTACCTATTTAGTAGTTCAAAATCTACCCTCCTCTCACATCCCTTCTCCAAGTGGCCCTCTCCATGATGTCCTGATCAGATAATGTGATTGCACTGGGCCTTCCTACCTCATCACCCTCCCTACCCTTGGTTCTATTGAGCCTTCCACTGTCTTTCAAACAGCCTCCCTACACCCTCTGGCTTTCCTGTATTCCTGGGTAAATGACTCTCCTCTGCTTCTCAGGCTAATCAAATTTAGCCTGCCATGCCTGCTTCTACTTCATGTTCCACTATGAGTGTGTGATCCCTCTGATGCCTTTTCATAATCATACCATATCCCTGGCCCACTCCTAGACCATGGGAACCAAGTATGACTTCTCCAATGTCCCAGCTGAAGCTCCCCCTTTCCCCAACTACAGGGATTTGCAGTCAGGTTTTTCACTTTAAACTTTTTAATATTTCATACAGCGATTATGGTGCATTCAGGAACCCAACCCCCCAAACCCCACTAGGAGGGCTCCCACCCCTGCCCTCCCACCCCATTTGAGGGCCCCAGGGCTTAGGGTGGAGGAAGGGGGAGGTAACCACCCATCCGGG